ATGTGATGGATCCGGTAAGATAGCCTGCCTTTGACTTTGGATGTAGAATGGGCGTTGGGTGGATCAGATGGGAAAGTTTCCAAATAATACCTTTCTCCGAAGAAAAGGAAGCCAAACTGTTTTATGCAGTTCCAGCTGACGTTATGACATTTTACACTATCTAGTTCAGTTTTTATAAAAGAAAAGTAGACAAGTAAATAAATAAAGTGAAGACCACAGACAGACTGAGGCATTGCTACTTGCTAAAGGGAAATACGCACACAAAGCACCTCAGCCTCCCTTCTGCCCTCAGGAGAGCACAGGATGCCAAGTGCAAACACTGAGTGAGGTGCTCTGTGCAACAGCAGGTGCAAAGCACGTTCCACATTCGCTTATTCTAAACCTAATCTCAAGACACGGCAAGGAGCTGGCAGAGTGCGGACAGTCTTAGAAACCCTAGAAATCCCCCAAAAGGGGGAATGAAAGAATGAGATTCTGAGGCCATTAAAGTACATTGTTTCTTCAAGGATTTAGGCAATACACTGTAGCACAGACTCAAAACTACCATATTCACTTCTCAACAGCATATTTTGGGTTTAGAAAGTCTTTTCTCACGTATATATGAAACACATACCATGCTCTGATGCCTTGTGGATCGCTGACGACCCTCTTTGCACAAGCTACAGCTTGAGTGATGTCATCTTTCAATAAATCTGAAAAAGAGGTGGTGAGAAATGAAAACAAATTGCACAGCGATTTCCTTTTACATTTAGGGTTAGCCACTTTTATTCTGTTGGGCTGAGGAAAGAATATTAAGAAATTATTTTTCAAGAGTCCATTAGGCAGTAATGGTGGGGAAAAACTCTCTTCACCCTTTTCCATCTGGCAGCAAGTAAAGCATTTTGTCTCATTTACAATGCAAGCTCTGGAATTACCACGATATGGAAGGTCCACTGCATACTAGACACTATAGGAAAAAGCATGCCTAGTGATTTTTTACTCGGCAATTATACTATTGCAACTTCCTCATAAAGAACTAATAAGACATATATCCAAAGGTGTTTGCAGAAAGATGTTCACAGCAATTATTAAGTGAAAAACTGTAAACAACGTAAGTGCTTAATAGTAGGAAGTAGATAAACACATTACAGAATATTCAGAGTGGAATTCTACTCATCCTTTAAAATGACAATAGAGATTTGTATTTGTTGATATGGACATAATTTTGTGTGAGAAGTAAACCGTATAGCAGTCTATATAATACAATTTAATTTTTGTAAAAATTTACATTGCTGTCATGTTTATATATGGGTACATATATACATGATATAATTTTATTTTAAGGTTTATTTATTTATTTGAAAGGTAGAGTTACAGAGAGAAAAAGAGGGAGAGACAGAGATAGCTTCCATCCACTGGTTCACTCCCCAAATGGTCGCAAAAGCCAAAGCTGGGCCAATCCAAAGCCAGGAGCCAGAAGCTAATTCCAGGTCTCCCACTTGGGTGCAAGGGCCCAAGCACTAGGGCCATCTTCTGCTGCTTTCCCAGCACATCAGCAGGGAGCTGGATCAGAAGTGGAACAGCTGGGACTTGAACCAGCATCCATATGGGATGCCATCACTGCAGACGATGGCTTTACCTGCTACACCGCAGTGCCAGTCCCTGTAATTTTACTTGCATGTCCATGATTGATGTACATTCTGGAAGAATATATACCAAAAGTGACAATGGTCAGACAACTCTGGTAGTAAGGTTACGGTTGCTATTTTTTTCCAATTTGTATTTTCTAATTTTTATTTAATGACTACATGCTATTATACAATGCAAAATATATTTGAAAGTAAATTAACTAGATTATAAAAGAATATGCTAAATTAATCTTCTTGATGTGGGTGTTGTGTGGTACAGCAGGTCAAACTGCTGCTTGAGACACCAACATCCCCTTTTAGAGAACTTGTTTAGGTCCTGGCTGCTTCATTCTGACCCAGTTCCCTATCAATGTGCCCGGGAAGGCAGCAGAAAGAGGCCTAAATATCTGGGTTCCTACCACCCATTTGGGAGACCAAATGGAGTTCCTGGCTCCTGGCTTTGGCCTGGCCAAGTGCTGGCTCTTGTATAATGATTATGTATGAACTGCGGTTTTTTGAGATACAAACTAAAGAATTTAGAAATGAAAGACATAATGTTTTTAATTCATTTCAAAATCCTTCAACAAAAAATACATAGAGAAGAAGCAACTACTGCAAAAAGTTAAGAATTTAAAAGTCAGATATCTGAGGTCAGTCATTAGGCAGAGCAAGAAAGATGCTGCTTGGAAGCCTGCATCCCATACTGGATTGCCTGGGTTCAGAGTCCTCACTCTGCTCCCAATCCTAGCTCCCTGCTATCCGGAGATGGAGCAGGTGATGGCTCCGGTAGCTGGGTCCCTGCCACACACATGGCAGGCTGAGATTGAGTTCTGGGATCCTAGCTTCTGCTTGGCCCACACCCAGCTGTTGTGGGTATTAGGGAATAAGAAGTAGATATGAGATCTGTGTGTCTGTCTTTCTGTATTTAAAATAAATAAATAAAGTATGAAGTTGGACTTATGGGGGCCGGCATATGGTGCAGTTAATTGGTTATGCTGCTCGCCTGTGATGCTGGGATCCCATATGGTTGCTACTCAATTTGTGGCTGTTCTATTTCTGATCCAGCTCCCTGCTAATGCACCTGGGAAAGCAGCAGAAGATGGTCATGTGCTTGAGCCACCCTACACCCACCTGGATGAAGCTCCTGGCTCCTGGCTCTGGCATGCCCAGCCCCAGCTGTTGCAGTCATTTAGGGAGTGAAACAGCAGATGGAAGACCTCTCTGTCTCTCCCTCTCTCTGCATAACTCTATCTTTCAAATAAAGATAATAAATAAATAAAAAGCTGCATTTATGGCTGTTTGTTATACTGCTACCTCCAATTTTCTGTGTATGCAGAACATTTCATAGTAATACATACACAATCAAAAAAGGAACCAAGACCAAATTACTCCTCTCCTCCCCTGAGTCAGCAGGAGGAAAGCATCAGTGAGGCCATTTACAATCAGTTAACAGATCATTCCAGAAACATGTGCATATGAAAGAGCACCAACCTTTCATAATACCAGCTCTTTACTTTCTTACTTGGGGAATTAGGAGGAGGATAACAAAACTTTCTGGAAGCTGTGATGGGAGTTTTCCTAGGTCCCTCATGAATTTGTCTTGAATCTCTACTCTTACAAGATACCCAGAGGGGTCCTGTGCCATCACTCAAGTATTATCCTGTCTTACCACTGCAGGGTATATGGCAGGCGTTAACTGCTCGTGGGGTTTTGCCATCGTTACACCAGTAGCGGCTATTGATCTGAAATATTCCATAATCGGTGCTTTTGTCTCCAGGGTTGTAGTTTGTAGCTTGCGTGTTATAACCGCTCTCCCATTTGGTCAAACACATCCCTGAAAAAGTAATTTTTGTAATGAACAGCAACATAAAATGACTTACAGTGTAAACAAAAAGCAATCCATGTGTCTAACTCTGTTTTACCAATGACTTGATGTGTTTAACTTATAACTGAACACTTTAGTGAAGAAAGGCCCTTAAGAGAACCATTTTTGTAATGCAAACCAACTTCTGAAACTACTGCAGCAAGAGAAGGTGCTTTAAAAATATTAAAATAACAGTTTCTTCTTTGCTTTTACCCTTTCCCTGCTCCCATGGCTCAGGCAACATGCAGCCTTGAATAGAAAAATCAAGAGTTGATAGGCTCAGGTCTATCTGAGTCTAACAGCAAATCGGATGTTCCTTTCTTTGTTGTGGGCCTGTGAGTCACTGTAAAATCTACCATTAAGATGCTAACTGTGCTAATATGGGCAGTTTGAGTCTTCATGATTCCTGGTCTCTCTTCACAGGCCAGGGGAGAGATTCTGGGGCCCAACATGATCTCTATCAAAGGCATTGGGGAATGGGCCGGGTATGGTCTCGGGAAGTTGGAAAGAGTGGAGACTTACAGTTCGCCAAGCTGACTCCCTTGTAGCCATCCAATCCAAGTTTTTTCAGAGTTCTGGCCAACTCACACCTTTCATAGATCTTGCCCTGGACAGTGGTGGAAAGGAGGAGAAGCCCCAGGATCAGGAGTGCCTTCATGTTGACTGGGAAGCAAGACCTCTATGCTGACAGGACAGAGGCAGCCCTAGTATTTAACCTCTTTCAACTTCCTTCTTCCCCAGGTGGCGTGAGGGCTCCACCCTTTATGTAGAAAACATGCTTGTTTTTCTGATTCACTGACTTGAAAGGGTTTTTTTTTTTTTTTTTTTTTTTTTAATGTTTGAAGAGAAACGGTCTGATGTCCTAAGCATTAATCTCAGTAAAATGATGAAAAGACATTGCTTAAAGATTTGTTCAGGAAGAATTGGGAAGTAGCACTTTTCCAAAATAGAAGTTTTCTTCTATTTTATTAGGAGTTAAACAAATGTGAAGAAAAAAAAGGATTGTTTTATGTAACTTAAAATGAGCTGGGATTTTTTGCCTAATATTTTCATTTCCATTAAATGGTCTGTGTAAATTCACTATTTTGTATTCATCTCCACTTAGAATTATTTGGTATATACTTTTCTAGAGAATAGACATGGCACTTGGACCTCTTGTCTCATGGGTAATAGCCTGTTATCAAGCAAGAACTCAGTCCCTAACCCCAGTGCCAATCAAAATAATGAGGCCGAGGTTTGGGATGAAGGGAAGAGAACATTTAATCTGCTGACAGATGAAAGCATGGCAGACCCCAGGGTCTCCACAACCACCACCCTCCTTCAGGGGGTTTGGGGCTTTTAAAGAACTACAGGGGAGTCAGGAATAAGAGGGACAAAGGAAAGGGCCAGCTGCATGTTGGCCCACTGGCCAGGCACCAAGGCCTGCACACTCCTTTTGTGTTTAATGCTCTGGTTGTCTGGTTGTCTGTAGAAGAAACTGAGGTAAGGAAAAAAAGCAATGTGTGCTTCAGACAGCCGGTGAGTGGGAAGCCAGGAGTCCAGCCCGATGCATCACCCAGATGCTCTGCTGGTAGGGCAGTCAAGTGGCCTTTAATCAGCCTGGGGGCTACATGCAGGTAGTTATTTTGTGCCCCGACCTGGGATTCCCCGGCACGGATTCGGGATTTCCCCTAATGGAACCCCTGGAGAAAATACTGGCCACCCACATGTTACCCACTGAAGAAGCAAATGACCTCATGAGCTTAGAGACCGGAATCTTGGAGGGCCAGCTGTACCACTCCCTCAGTTCAGTGAGTTAAGCCAAGACAGAATTTCTAGAGGACTGAGGCCTGATGGTATCTAGCCTCTGCACTCAAAGCTTTTTTTTTTTTTTTTTTTTTTTGTGGGGGCAGGCAGGGAGAGCCCAGTCCAATCATGGCATCCCAATGTTCAGCTGGTTTTCTACTTCAGACTGGTTGTATATATTTTATTATTATAAAACAGTGTTTTACAGTTACAAACAAGGGTCATATGAACAACTTTCCTAACTCCTTTTCCATAGTGACTGGCCTCCCAGTTTTATGTCAGAATGGAATAGGTCACTTTTTTAAAAAAAGATTCATTTATTTATTTGAAAGGCAGAGTTACAGAGAGGCAAAAGCAGAGAGAGAGAAAGAGGTTTTCCAGTTGTTGGTTCACTCTCCAGATGGCCACAATGGCCAGGTTAGGTAGATCCAAATCCAGGAGCCAGAAGCTTCTTTCAGGTCCTCCACATGGGCAAAAAGACCCGAGGACTTTGGCCATCTTCCACTGCTTTCCCAGGCCATAGCAGAGAGCTGGATCAGAAGTGCAGCAGTCAGGACCCGAACCAGTGCCCATATGGGATGCCAGCACTGCAGGCTGTGGCTTTACTTGCTATACCACTGCACTGGCCCCCAAAGAGGCCATTTTAAAGCAATAGAACTTTATTCAACTAAGTGTTACCTTTTAAAATACCCATCTGAGGAGGCTTTGCACATTTTTTTGGCTTCTAAGTAATTTTTTTTAAGATTTTATTTATTCATTTGAGAAGTAGCGTTACAGACAGTGAGAGGGAGAGAGAGAGAAAGGTCTTCCTTCCATTGGTTCACCCCCTAAGTAGCCACAATGACTGGAGCTTGCCGATCCAAAGCCAGAAGCCAGTTGCCTCTTCCAAGTCTCCCACGTGGGTGCAGGGTCCAAGCATTTGAACCATCTTCTACTGCTTTCTCAGGCCACAGCAGAGAGCAAGATTGGAAGTGGAGCAGCCGGGACCAGAACCGGTGCCCATATGGGATGCCGGTGCCACAGGTGGAGGATTAACCTACTCTGCCATGATGCCAGCCCCAGCTTGTAAGCAATTTATTTTTAAATTATAAGATTTGTAGGCCAATGCCACAGCATACTAGACTAATCCTCCGCTTGCGGCGCCGGCACCCCGGTTTCTAGTCCCGGTTGGGGCGAGGGTTTCTGTCCCGGTTGCTCCTCTTCCAGTCCAGCTCTCTGCTGTGGCCTGGGAAGGCAATGGAGGATGGCCCAAGTGCTTGGGTGCTGCACCCGCATGGGAGACCAGGAGGAAGCACCTGGCTCCTGGCTTTGGATCGGCACAGCACGCCGGCCATAGCAGCCATTTGGGGGGTGAACCAATGGAAGGAAGACCTTTCTCTCTGTCGCTCTCTCTCTCTCTCTCACTGTCTAACTCTGCCTGTCAAAAAAAAAAAAAAAAAAAAAAGCCGGCGCCGTGGCTCACTAGGCTAATCCTCCGCCTAGCGGCGCCGGCACACCGGGTTCTAGTCTCGGTCGGGGCACCGGATTCTGTCCCGGTTGCCCCTCTTCCAGGCCAGCTCTCTGCTGTGGCCAGGGAGTGCAGTGGAGGATGGCCCAGGTGCTTGGGCCCTGAACCCCATGGGAGACCAGGAAAAGCACCTGGCTCCTGGCTCCTGCCTTCGGATCAGTGCGGTGCGCCGGCCGCAGCGCGCTGGCCACGGCGGCCATTGGAGGGTGAACCAACGGCAAAGGAAGACCTTTCTCTCTGTCTCTCTCTCTCTCTCACTGTCTAACTCTGCCTGTCAAAAAAAAAAAAAAAGATTTATAATGATTTGATTACTCAAAATAGCATATTGGAAATCAAAGCACATCAACAGACAAAAGAAAGTTGAGTTTTTGACTATCAGCACTGAAGCCATCTTTATAAGTATCTGACATCCAACCATGTCTCATTTAAAAAGAAGAGTAATCTCACATGTTTCACTTCCAGGCTTAGTTCCTAGTTTTCAAATTTTAGGAAGTGTAATGGAATTTACTTCAAATCCCATTACACTTAGTGTTTATATTGCAACAGCAGCAGATTTCACATGGAACAAGGGCACAGCTTTTAGCTTTTAGCCACATACAGAAATTATATACCACATTCAGTACAGTAGAGTACACTATATTAACAAGCGCAAGGAGTTAGTAAACTTAATGCATTGTTGCTGTATCTTTCCCTCTAAACTGAACCAGTTGAGCTTCTGAGCAGACAGATTGCTGCTATGGAGAGTAAGACTGCTGTGGGGGCTCAGGGAAGGGACATGAAGGTTGCTGGGGTCCTGGGTGATACACTGGAGGAAACAGCACGTTATACCTGCTGAGGGTGAAAAGATTATAGTCCATGGGCATGGAAGTTTGGCAACATCCAGGATATCCTGGATGCGGTGGATGCTGGGCCTGTGGAGGAGGGGCTGAGCCAGGGGTTTATGTGACAGCTGGTGCAAGATCCCAGTTCCTACAGGAGCCAGATGAATAGCTATTTTGAAAGAGGGTGCCAAGTTTTACAATGAGCTACTGCTGAAATCCTGGTCAAGTTCCAAAACAAATGCAATCATACAGTATTTGCATGGAAGACAGGAAGAGGGGCACTCTTCCAGGATTTGCAGCAAAGCATTGCCTGAGAACCTAGCGCTCCTTCAGTCCCTACACTTGCCTATCAGTGTTCTCCAGCAGGAGGACATGCCAGCTCCCCGACCCCAGCACCAAGGAACATGCTGCCTCCTAAGCCCAGGCCCCGGCCTCTACCACCTGTGCTTGCAGCAAGTAGTGCTCCTTCTGCACATTTTTAAAAATGATGCAATCAGCACTCCAGAGAAACTGTCCTTCCAGATCAACCTATGAAGACAGATTCTGAGCCACACAAGAATACCATCACTTTGTAGCTATCCTTATTTTTCATCAGCGACAGTCTCTTTCTCTTTGGCCTTTACAGACTGTCAGTATTGGCTATGACTGCTGGACCCTGTCCAAAAACCAAGTATAACTCTATGTATTAGGCCAGGCCTAATTTTGAAACAGTGAGACAGATTTTTCAGGACGCAAAGAGACAAAAAAGGAGCTAAAAGAGTTCATCTCTAGTCTCTTATATATTCTTCTAAACTCAAGGGCAAAGAACATCCAGTTATTACCTAAGCTGGTTTCAGCCTCTGACAATGAGATTCGCTCTTCTTTTCAAATGTTTGGAGAGTTATAGTCTAATTTCTTAGAGTGGAATAAACAAATATCTGGAAACTGAGAGCATATAATATGTAACTATTTAAAGAGGTGTTTTAGTCCCTTAACTCTGAGATTATAGGGCCTCTAAAGGCCTGAACCCCATGGAAGAGAAACACTCAGTAGACTTATCTGAGTGGATGCACTGAGCTATTACTATTATTGATTAGCTTAGTTTGGTGTGGGTGAAGTGCACATCTGGAGCAACCCTGAGCTATCCTTTGTTCTTTGACAATACATTTCTTATCTATTCTCAGAAATATTCTCCCTAATGTTAATAGGGACCTTTTCTTTTTCTTTTTTTTAGAGAGGCAGAGTGGACAGTGAGAGAGAGAGACAGAGGGAAAGGTCTTCCTTATGCTGTTGGTTCACCCTCCAATGGCCGCCGTGGCCGGCGCGCTGCAGCTGGCGCACTGCGCTGATCCGATGGCAGGAGCCAGGTGCTTCCCCTGGTCTCCCATGGGATGCAGGGCCCAAGGACTTGGGCCATCCTCCACTGCACTCCCTGGCCACAGCAGAGAGCTGGTCTGGAAGAGCGGCAACCGGGACAGAATCTGGCGCCCCAACCGGGACTAGAACCCGGTGTGCCAGCGCCGCAAGGCAGAGGATTAGCCTAGGGAGCTACGGCGCCGGCCAATAGTAACCTTTTCAATAGCTGCTTTCCAACTCTCATTGTCCCTGAAGATGAAGAAAACAATCTTCAGCCAGTAAGAAATTTATTCTTCCCCCTTTACCTAAGTCCCATCTTTTTTAGGCCAAGCCAATGTGTGCTCACTGTGTGATCCAGGAATCATAAATTCTTGCAAGAACTGACCATTTCAGAACCACTTCCAAGTCTCATTGAAATCATTGGGCTTCTGCCCTGAATACACCTTAAATGTGTCCTTTTACAATATTGCTATTCACCGCGCTGATCCGATGGCAGGAGCCAGGAGCCAGGTGCTTTTCCTGGTCTCCCCATGGGGTGCAGGGCCCAAGCACCTGGGCCATCCTCCACTGCACTCCCTGGCCACAGCAGAGAGCTGGCCTGGAAGAGGGGCAACCGGGACAGAATCCGGTGCCCCGACCGGGACTAGAACCCGGTGTGCCGGCGCCGCTAGGCGGAGGATTAGCCTAGTGAGCTACGGCGCCGGCCCAGATCTTGCTTTTTTCCATCAACAGTATTTTGGTGCCCAATGTGGGACCCAGAGAAGACTCAGGACCCTTGGAGGTCCAGATTAGCACATGGTACCAGCATGGGACGCTGCACCCCTCTGACCTAAGCTTCTCCCCTGGGTGGAATGCTAACTACTCCTGGGCCTCCAGACATCCCTTCTGGTCATTGATGTCCTGGGTTTATTCCTGGCCCATTTTCCCCTTTTTGTTTTTGTCCTTCTTGCTCAGAGCATTTTTCAGTACCTTAAGTCACATGTAAGAGGCCGCTCCTTCTTGATCCTATCTATTGGCTATTTCAAAAACTAAACAACAAGGAGATCAACTTCTTTCTGGTGTGCATGGAAATATCTGAGTAAATAAAAACATTTTATTAAAGGTGATTTAAGTCTTACATTTCCAAAATGGGAAATGTTTAATATTGTGAAATTAGTTTTTCCTTCGGTAAACATTGGAAAGGACACTTGGGATGACTGCACCCCATGTGGGCATGCCCAGTCTGCATCCCAGCTACTCCATGCTTCTTATTTAAATCCAGCTTCTTGCTAATGCCCCTGGGAGGCAGTGGATGACGGGCTCCAGTACTTGGGTCCCAGCCGCCCATGTGGGATACCTGGATGGAATTCCTGGCTTAATTTCTGGCCTAACCTTGGTTGTTATAGGCGTTTGGAGAATGAACCAACAGATGGAAGTTCTTTTTCTCCCTCTTGAACCCCACCCAGCAATTTGCCTTTCAAATAAATAAATCTTTTCTTAAAAAATTAGGAAAGGGTAGATTCTTGAACAAATCTATAGAATAAGAAAGCTATTTTGACTAGTACTTGAGGTTAAAAAAGAGGATGATAAATTCATCTCAATACATGAAGCAAGTAAGAAATTTTTGGACTGTCACAGAACTTAAAAGGGCCACTGGAGCTGCAACAGGAAAACCAACCATATTGAATCTGCACACCCACTTGTTCTACATGCAGTTCCTCCCTGTCCTTCCTCCCCCTAGTTTCCTCATACACTGGATCTCAACTTTCCTCACCTCCCCGCAGCTGAACCTTTGCCTGTAATTAATCAAAGGAAGGAAACCCTACATGAAGGGACAAATCTTGTAACTCATCTTTTAGAACCAAACCCTGGATGTGGGGAACTACATACTACGTATGTTCCCTGGACAAAAAGAGTTAAAAGCCTTAGTCTCAGAATTACATGATCCAATGCAAGACATACTATGATCTATAAAAGAATTTAAAATTACTTCTCAAAGTAATTACTCTCAAGAAGTCTTAGCCGGTGCTGTGGCTCAATAGGCTAATCCTCCGCCTTGCGGCGCCGGCACACCAGGTTCTAGTCCCGGTCAGAGCGCCGGATTCTGTCCCGGTTGCCCCCCTTCCAGACCAGCTCTCTGCTGTGACCAGGGAGTGCAGTGGAGGATGGCCCAAGTCCTTGGGCCCTGCACCCCATGGGAGACCAGGAGAAGTACCTGGCTCCTGCCATCGGATCAGCGCAGTGCGCCGGCCGCAGCGCGCTGGCCGTGGCGGCCATTGGAGGGTGAACCAACGGCAAAGGAAGACCTTTTTCTCTGTCTCTTTCTCTCTCACTGTCCACTCTGCCTGTCCAAAAAAAAAAAAAAAAAAAAAAAAAAAAAAAAAAAAAAAAAGAAGAAGTCTTGACATAGGCCCCTGCCCTAGGACAAGCCTGTTAGTTATGGTAGCCAATGATGTGGACAGGCAGGTAGCTAGGGAATGAGAAGCTGAGGACTGCACACGTGAGCAGCCCAAACCCCATCTCCTTTTGTGAGTGACACCTGCAGGCTGGAAGTATCAGTCTGACTGCAGGTTCAGTACACCCATTCCCCATCATGCACTGGAGCCTCACTTCCCATGGTGCATAAGCTGCCATGACGCCTTCCCAGAGAGAGCACTGTGTGCTCCAGCCCTGCATGGAGACACCATGATACTTCTGAGATCCCCAATAAAGCGACATCAAAGCTAGTGGTGTTCAAGTCCCGCCCAAACCCCACCACCATTGAATACTGCCCTGCCCTGGGCACCATCCCCTAGCCTATAAAAGGATGACCTGCTGGTGGGGGCAGCAGCACTGCCCTCCTCCTAAAGAGAGGTTGCCCGGACTCACATCTGAGCATGTGCTATGTCTTTCAATAAATCCTGCTCTCCTCTATACCTTTGCATCTTCTCTTCCATTTCTTTTTTTTTTTAAGATTTATTTATTTATTTGAAAGGCAAGTGACAGAGACAGAGACAGAGAGACAAAGAAAGGGGCAGAGAGAGATTGTCCATCCACTGCTACACTTCCCAAATGACTGCAATGGTCAGGGCAAGGCCAAGTCAAAACCAGGAGCCAGGAGCTTCAACTCCCACATGAGTAGCAGGGGCCCTAGGACCTGGGCCATCTTCCACTCTTTCCTGGTGCATTAGCAGGGAACTGGGTCAGAAGTGGAGCAGATGGAACTCAGGCCAGCTCAGATGGGAAGCTGGTGTTGCAGGCAGTGGCTTAACTCACTGCACCACAATGCTAGGCCCTCCTCCCTAAATTCTTTTCTCACGTGGAAGCAAAAACTTGGAGCAAGCCCAGCTGGGGACTGAATTCCCCACAACAATTAGACCTTATAGGTCAAGAACATGCCCTTGCATGAGGGTGACTTCAGTGGCTCCCAATGAAACCATGGACAGCAAGCTTCCCAACACTGCATAACACACTAACAGCTGACAATAGTCATTTGCCCACCTATTGCACAGTAACATAATACTTTGGGATTAAGAAAAAATCTGCTGCCATGTCTTTCCAGAACCCCTGATATGACTAGACATAATTTGTGGCAGCCAAGATTGTAAACGGAGCCTGTGCAGATCCACTCAGACTGACCTGAGAGTTACCTTATGCTTCATTATCACGGTAGGTGACACATGCTATGATGTTTCTGCAGCCATGTTTAACCATGCGATGTGAGGGCATGATTTATCAAGGTGCATGCTTTAAGGACTTTCCTTACCCTTCACCTCTGCACCTGTCACGTTCTGTCACACTGCTGTACCCAGTTACACTTCATTTACTCTAACTCATCAATTCCCTAACCCCATTTGAATGGGAAGATTTATGGGGCTTTGACACGATCTGCTCATTTCTATAGGCCTATAATAATAATAAATGTTCCCTTTCTCAGATGAATTCACTTTTTATAATAGTAATAATGTGTGCAAATAGGAGGACTCGTGGTTCAACAACAGCACCCTTTGTAAACGTATAAGCCAACATTTCCACCTAGTGTATTACCTCCTGTCCTCTGGGTTGGAGGAACAAGTTCTGTTAGAAAAATAAAAAATCGCTAATTGAGTCTTTCCACAGTGAGCTCCTGGGAGATGAAGACACCAAAGACCACAGACTGAACCTGGGCTTCGTGGGGCTGGCATTTTAAGCTGTTAAGAGGCTGCTTGGAACTCCCACATCCATTTAAGAGTAGCTTTAAGACGTGAGAGTTCCTCCACCACTTCTGATTCCAGCTTCCACCTAATGTGCACGCTTGGACACAGTGGTGACAGCTCATACTGGGTCCCTGTCACCCATGTGGGAGATCTGAAGTTGAGTTCTGGCTCCTGGCTTCAGCCTGGCCCAGTCCTGGCTATTGTGGGCATTTGGGGGAGTGAATCTGCAGATGTAATGTCCCCCCGTATCTCCATCTTTTGGCCTTTCCAAAAAAATGTCCCTGGAGATTTTTTGCTTTGGAAAAGAAACCAAATAAAGGAGTCCCCACATCCTTGATGGAAAGGACCCTATCAAGCACTTCTTACCAACTCCTGCACTGCCAAACGGAAAGGAGTCAATCATTGGACACACATCCACACTTCAAGCATGCACCTGATTCGACACCTAAACCAATGAGGACTGTGAAAGCCATCACTGACTCGTCTTTTACAAACATAAGATGAGCCAAACAGGATAACTGATGACCACAACTTTAACTTTTACCTGTATGTTGTTATATGATATCTCCACTGACCCTGAATGTCTTAATTTAGCCACTGAAGACTTTCCTTTGGAAATCCAGCATGATCCTTGATATATGCTCTTATAGGGTTCTGATAATGATTAGAACTGTATTTAAACTTTATCATATATTCATAAGTAACATATTTCCTTTGATTAATGCTCTATGTCTTCTAGAGATAGCACCCTCAAACCTCCTCATGATGTAATCAGTGTAGAAATAGCTTGGCCTAGGGTCAGCATTGTGGTGTAGCAGGTAAAGCCACCACCTGGGATAACCACACCCCATGTGGGCACTGGTTTGAGTCCTGGCTTTTCCACTGCCAATCCAGCTTGCTGTTCACGTGCCTGGGAAAGCAGTGGAAGATGGACCAAGTGTTTGGACCCCTGCACTCAGGTGGGAGACCCAGAAGTTCCTGGTTCTTGGCTTCAACCTGGCCCAGCTCTGGCCATTGCTGCCATTTTGGGTGTGAACCAGCAGATGGGGGATCTCTTTTTCTACTACACACCTCTAATGAGGTCACAGGGTCTGAATGATGGAGATAACAGAACCTCTGAACCCCACAAAAGAAGGATGGGAAGATGACCTTCTGAGATGATGAACCACAGTCTCTGGGATGGATGAAGGCACAGCCAAAGGCGGGGGTACGACACCACAAAGGAAACATGCAAATGAAGTGAAAGTCTGCATGCTGAGCAGGAAGCCATCCATAGCTCTCCACCTGCCCCCAATGAGCTTCACAACTGGCTGGCAAAATGACCTCCCTGGCAGGAGCCAGCAGCACTCCTTTGTGGGATGCCTGCCTGAACCAGAAGAAACGTCCCCCAGGTACAAATATTTAGGGCCCACAATGAAATTTATTTATTTATTTATTTTTTACTTGAGAGTCAGAGTCACACATAGAGAAGAGAAGCAGGGAAAGAGAGAGAGAGAGAAAGAGGTCTTCCATCCAATGATTTACTCCTCAACTGGCCGCAACGGCCGGAGCTGCACCGATTGGAAGCCAGGAGCCAGGAGCTTCTTCCGGGTCTCCCACACAGGTGCAGGGGCCCAAACACTTGGGCCATCTTCTACTGCTATCCCAGGCCATAGCAGAGAGCTGGATTGGAAGAGGCACCCGGACTAGAACTGGCTCCCATATGGGATGCCGGGGCGTCAGATAAGGCGTTAACCCACTGAGCCACAGTGCCGGCCCCGAGCACTACAGACTTGATGATAACTGCTAATGTGGATGACAGATCCAATTACATAGAGAAGAGGAACAATGGCAACACAAAATAAAATAAAACTGTA